GACTGCATTGCACTTTTCCAGTGCCTTTTGGGTTTCCTTTGGGAGGACACTTACAAGGCAGGCAGGGAGGAAGCAGCAGTGCCCCCCAAAACACCCTCCCGAGCCATAGGAGGGCTGTGGGGCCAGGGAGAGGGCGACCTGCAGCGCCAGCCTTGGGCATGGAGTGAGCTCAGCTGGCAGGGGTGAGAGCTACAGCTGCAGGGTTAACCTCAGTGTGTCCTGGCTCTCCAGTGCAGGCTGAGCCAGGCTTCAGTTTTGAAGGAGCACTGGGAAGATAAATATATCCATAATAAAGCTCCACTTCCAGGACTTGTTAATAAAGCATTCCTCACTCAAAAGATTATATGCAGAGTACCACTATTGCATATGAAGTTATCTTAACTGAGAATAGGAGACCTGCTTATGTAAGTGATCATTTTATAATCTGCCTAATTTCTGTTCCATTCTGCTTGTCCCATTTTGTCTTAGTCCCAGGAAGAGCTACAGGAATATTGCAGATGCTCTGGGATTACATATGTGGCTCTTGTGTCTGATAAAGAAGGAAGTCACGTAAAGGTAAGCATGGGCCAAGAAGATGTTCTGTTGGTATTTCAGATGTATAGTAAATTGTTCTGCACTTTTTAAGATTATAAACATTTTGTATAAAAAAATCAAGTAGGTTGAATTTAGGTGAATTCAGTTTCAGTTCCTAAGTAGCGGAAAATTATCCTGAAAAAGTATCTCTCCATTCTTATCTCTCCATTACACTGTTACTCACCAACCTCCTTAACTAGGAGAAAAGGTATTAAAATTAGTGCAAACATTGCTTCAGTTTGAGTTATCAGTATGTCTTTTGTGGAAGTATTTTTCCATTGTCGCAGATTTCCTTGAAATTATGAAGTGAATCAATTGACTCGGCCTGCTTTGCAGTGGACGGCTTTCTACAGTTATAAAACAAATATAACTGAATTGCAAATCTAAAAAAAAAAAAAGTCAATGGTTCTAAAGTACCCTTGATTCTGTAACATTATGAATGAGATCTTTATTCATTAAATGAATAAAGTAAGCATTCGATACGATCTGGCACAGTTATGTCATCTAGCCCATTTGTGTTACTAACATTTTTCACTTCATGTTCTTTCTCATCCATTCTCTCTCTCATTTTAACAGAGGTATTAACTGTATTAACAAGTAGATTATGATGAAGAGAATGAGATGTATCTCTGCCTTCCACAAGACTCTTATAGAGTGCTCTTTTTTTTTCTGACTTTATCATAGTAAAACCAAGAGCATGATAACAAACTGAATGGCTTTGTGGCTGGTTAATCATTTTCTGGCAAATATTGAGCAGATAAATTGTTGGAATATTTGCATGCAACTATGGCAAACTGAAAGCCAAGCACCATTCCAGAATTAATCCATACAGAAAAAAAAGTTAAAATCCATTTATGCTTTTATTAATGTGATGTTTGCACCTATTAACCATTCAAAACTAATTATCATATATCAAACACACATAGCCAAGGTGGTTCAAGTTCTAGGAATGCAGAGGAAATTGGTTGCCAAAAAAAAAAAAATCTAATTAAATCAAAGATTTAATTGGCAGTGATTGGTTGGTCATGATGGTAGTGGTGATGATACTTTCTTCCCTTTGACTGCTTTACATTTAAGGGATGTTTAATCCAGTTTGTTTTTGTTTAAATTTGAGCCATTTATTCGCATGCAGTTCTAAGAATTATCAATCTAAGAATCACTAAAATACATCATAGGTGAAATCCTTTGAGAAGGAAAGACAGACGGAGAAAAGGATTTTAGAATCTGACTTAATAGAGCACCTGGTCCAGAAGCTGAAAACCAAAATCTGTGATGAAAGATGTAGTAGGTAAGTAGCATAACAAGTGACCACGAATGGTCAAAATTACAAGTGATTGCATGCTTTTCTACTTAAATAATCTTTAAGAAATGCTTACTTAAACTTTGATTATATTCTTTAAGGGATAAGATCTTTGCCAAATTGCTTTTGTGGAGAAAAGCAAGCAAAGGGCTTGGGATTTTCACTGATAATTGCTGTTTTCACTGGGATTAAACAATTGATTTCCCTAGTAATCAAGTTAACCTTAAATAACCCTAGGATTTCAGAACTTAAGAGCCACACGTTCAGCTAGAGTTGTGCTCAAGCTGCCAGTTCAACACTACCTGCACCCCTAGTACTGTTTGTCCTGCAGGGCTGCCTGGAAATGCCTGTTGCCTTCCTGTAGTAACCAAAGAATCCCAGCAGCAATTCCCCTTCATCGTGAGGCAGAGCTGGGGGGGCGGTAAACAAGCAAGGTGAGATTGTAGCACAGCTGGATGGCCTGGCTGGCACGAGGGAAAGCAACATCTGGCAAAGACTTGGCATGCAACACCACATCAGCTTAGTTTTGTTAAAATTACTAGGTAAGGTGACCAAATTAGTTCAGAAAACATGTAAAATGATGCAAACTAATAATGAACAGCTTCTTTAATTATGTTTTACTTCGCTATTACTTTGATATATTGCGAGTATTACCTCACAAAAAAACATTAAAAAGTTACAGATTAAATTCACAAACTGTAGTATATAGCCTCCTGGGGATGCTAGAGGAGATTTTATGACTCAGTTCTTCTGTACCCTTTCTTACTTGCTCCAGAATAGAAAATCTAATCTGCAGATGAGTGCTGATAATCTTCTAAGTTTCTTAAACTGTTAAAATAAAATAGCATAGTTGTATGATAATCTGGAATACAGAGTTACTGCAATATTCTTTCATTATATAAATTTGTTTCCCTGTTTTTCTTGTTTATTTTTAGAGAAACCTCAGATAATCTCTCAGTACAAAATCAAAAGGGATCATTTGCTAATATTTCAGGTATTTGATCTCTAGTTATAGAAAATGCACGTTGATTTCTGTCTCTGTTGAAATACTCTTTTTAAGAAATATTTGTTGGATTATGATTTTAGATGTCTTGCCAAATTCAGAGGAATAAAATATCTTCCAGCAATGTATCTGGTTAGACACAATTCCTCCTGATGTCAAATGTTGTCCTGAGCAATCAAAAGCTGATTTTTTTTCTCCAAATTAACAAATTATAATTGCTCAGAGCAACATATAGAACATTCTGCATACAAGCATTGATTGCTGCCGTGATTTTGGAGGGAGGCAAATGAAAACCAGAGCGTGAGCATATTTAGTGGCAAATTAAATGTCGTCTTGATGAAAAACGATAAAATGTGATTTGTGATCATGAATCTGGGAACTCATGCATTTTCAACTATGCGAAGTTTTTTTTTGAAGTAAGAATATCTTTGCATATATAGCTACAGCTTTGCACTCTTCAGTCTGATAACTAAGTTTTGCAGATAAAAAAATCTGAAGTACTAGTATGTGCATAAAGTTTGATATTCTTGATAATTATCTTATTGTCTTATAAATGTTATAAAACTGGTGTTTTCTTGTTTTTGGCTTAAGAAAACTAATCTTTCTCTCTCATAACAATGGGGCAGAGGTTGCCACACTTAACTCAGTTTTTCTGTGATTAACAGAAGTAACTATTTGATTTTTCAAAATAAGCAACTCTGCTTATTTTAATTGGTTTAATGCTGATTTTTTTTGGAGTGAGTGTTAATCATTGCCTCATTCTTTCAGTAGCTTTTCTTTTTGGTTTTAGGTATTACTATATTCATCTGTAGAACTGATCCATTTGGAATTTGGGTTAATTTCAGGGAACACTGATGTAAAATACCTTTTTTTTTTATTGCTACCAGTCTTTTTAAAGTCATAAATTAGGATTTGGGAATCTACGTGCATGTGTTCCACTGTGCGGTCTTGACTTAATTTGTTTCCTTAGTGACCTCTGGACCTATGCCATATAGTTCTTAGCTGATCAGTACTTGTGAGTTTTCTGTTTCTTCCTACTTTTTGTATAAACACTGGATGTCTGCTAAAACTGCCTGTTTTTATCCTAGGTGTGTTTGACTCCCATGGAACTCTTATAGTGCCTAATGTCAGTGTTATAGCCCCGGAAAAATTATCTGCCAGTGCCAGACGTCGTCAAGAAATTCAGGTACATGTGCACACGAATCAAATAAGTATCAAGGATTATTCCTAAGGAGTTAAGTGATGTGGGAATTCACATTTTCCATAGCACCTAAGTTATTTTTTTACATTCTGTTTATTCTTAATTCATAAAAGAGACTGGGAACAACACAGAGTTTTGAAGGTGAGGATTTTTTTATATATATATTAGGACCATGGGGATTATGTGTAATATGGCTGTGGCACAGCTATGACTATATAGATGTATAAAGAAATCTCACTGTAGTAAGTTCTTATTTCTTGTAAATGCTCTAGCATGTTAAGGTTGCAAAGTCAGTTTTCTTGTGCAACGTATTCGTAAAACATATTCCATGTGCATTTTAGTAGGTTGCCTCAAAGCAAAGGCCTTAAAAATAAAAAAGGAAAAACTGGCTAAAATAACATAATAATATTGCAGGATATTGCTGGAAACATGTCAGAAGTGGCTCAATTAGGATTATTGACTTCCAGATACTTAGATTACATGGTAGACATAACTGTAATTTTATCCCTTCTTTAATTGAAACTTAGGTATCCCACAAACATTACCTCTGTAAGAAGTTCTTGGGGCATAAATAAAAGCAGATGTTATTCTTTGAGCTAAGCAGACCTATTTCAATTTTTGTCAAAAAAAGGTACTAAAGTCCGTTTTTGTTCAGAGCTGCAACCATTTCTATAGGATGCCATGTTTGCAAGATTATAATTTACATTCAAGAAAGTATTGCAAGGTATGAGACATGTGCTTTGCTATTGCCCTCATCTCAGTCATCGTCCTCTATAGAGCAAGAGACAAATCAGTGTGTCCAGTGTATCCATTTCTCTGGAAAGTAACCCAGGGCACACAAATAGCAATGCAGTTTTGATCCACCCGCACAGGAGTTCGCAGCGTAACACTCAGTTCTCACCATCTGCTCTAGTATAGTGCCAGTATTCTCAAATCTTCCCCCTTCCTGCAAGGGAGGTTCAGCCGCACTCTTTCTGCTGTGAATTTATCAAGGATTATTATGGATTTGTTGCTGAGTTACATTAAATGTAAATTTGAGCTTAAATACAATCAAGTTCTATGTCTTTCGTTAGGAGCAACAGCTTCTTTTTTTTTTTTTTTTTTTGTAATCTCTAAAAGAGAAAGCAAATGTTCCCACCCTGTGGCTCAGAGGCAGTGTGTATTTAACTTTTGTCTGTCTTTCGTTGGCAGGTACAAACAAGACTTCAGACATTCATTTCTAACCTGCAACAGAAAACCAGTGAGATTGAGATTTTAGCGGTAAGTATTTTGCAGAAGCTTACATTAATTTCATCCCCTTAATTTAATTGGGAGGTTGAGTTGCTATTTGAAAAAATATATGTATTTCCATTAGTCTCAATTTAGAAATAGCAAATGGAACCAGAATAAACTTGTGGCTTAAGTGAGACACACAAATACCCATTTGTTTGGTGTCTGAAAAGTATTTCATACTATGAGTACTGGATAGTTGCACACAACAAAATATTTGTTAAACAAGTGTTTAATTGTAAAGTCTTAAGCTCTACCTATCCCAGCCCTGGTGGCAGAAGATTGAATAACTTGTTCCTGCTGGATTTGATCATTTAAACCTCCGTGACTTTTGTGTATAGTTTTTAAGCTTTGCTGAGAGTATCATAAAGGATGTTAAAATGGTACACAATTTTCAAAGAACAAATGTGTTGGGCTCATTGTAGTTTTTCCTAGCAAAATCTGTCTTGAGCAGCTTGTTTAAAAACTTGGACAGATTCCTGCTTCTGTCATCATGGGTTCATCCGTGAAAATTTCCTAATTTCTGACTTTTTTATACAGATAATCTTTTATCTGCATAGACTCCCTTTTATACAGAAAATCTCAAGTTGGAAGATTGACAACAGGAATAAGAACCGTTAAATACCTGATTCCTTTATGTTATGTTTGCAGGTAGATCTGCCAAAAGAAACTGTGATACACTTCTTGTCATTAGAGGTAAACAGTTCAGCATTGTCTTTGAATCTCTAGTTGAAACCGTAACGGAACATTTTAAGTTTTGACACTAATGGAGCTGAATGTAAAATTTACCTGTAACTCCTTTTTTTTTTTTTTTTTTCCCAAGAAGTTTGAATTGGGTTTTAAAACTGCAAAGAACTTTTTTAGCCAAAGGCCTCGAATGAGGCTAGAAAAATCATTTTGCTAAATGCACAGACACTATTAGAAGTCTTAACCCAGAATTTCAGCTTTCTCCTAGGAATAGTTAAATGAGATTAAGCCTTACTGCTCCTTTACTGCTCCTTTTCAGAACCAATGAGCTTTAATATGCAGTTTAAACCAAGGCTCTTTTGGAGCTATTAATGAAGGAGGACCCAAAATGCAGAGGCAATTCTTTTGAGAGCAGTAGCTGCACCAACTCTTAGTGAGCTCAGGGTAAATAAAGGGTTTATGAGTATTCTATTGGCCACTTTAACAACTCAAAAACCTCTTGATTAGGAAAAACAAACAAGTTATTTTCCTTCCGCCACTGAGAGCAGTGGCTTTAAAATCAAAAGTTCTCATTAGAGATGGACTCCTCCAAAAAACTCTAAAGAATGACAAAAGAATTACATCTGGCCTGGGAGTGGATCTGTTCCTCACAAGCATGTTTTGTGTCCCCTGTTCTGAAGCAGTGCTTGGCTGGTAATATTATAAAATATTATTCAAATACTTAGCTGAACCAATCTATCCAGATAGCGTAGACAATTTATCACATTTTACTTCCAAACAGGGAGCAAGCACACACTCAGCATGGCCATCTTGCAGGATAAATCACTTGTGACTGTCATTATACTAGAGTACTTCAATGTTTGTTTGTTTCCTAAACTGTGTTAAGTTCATTAATAAGTCTCATTCTTAATATATTTTTAAGTTTCTTAATAAGTTTTTAAGAACTACCCAAATTGCAAGTGATGTTTATACAAATTTTGTTGGAAATAACCTGTCTTTTTGATAAGCTGTTTGAGCAGGGGCATTGACATTACCAGTTGTCAGAAGAGTGAATCGTATGAGAACAAATGTTTATTTAGGAAGAGAATATAACACTATATCAGTATTCCTTGTCAAATTCTTTTCCCTAGTTTGACAGAGACAGACAAACCTTTGATGCTACTGTGAGCCAGCTGATGTCACGGTGGCCAAAACAACGATCCTCTTATCTGCAAGCAATTTGTGATGAAATTTACAGCATCAAAATGGAAAAGAGGTAAATTTGTTACACTATTATAAATATATGCAAAACATGCCAATTATTTCTGCATTTGAGCTTTACTATATGAAGTGCTCTTAAATTGTCTTCTTTCAAGGAAAAATAGTAAGAAAATATATCACTAAGTACTGTTTTCTCTTAACATGAAACAAAACGCATAGTTATTGGATCACCCGTTTGTGATTTATGTTATATACTAATTAAAGTTTGCTATTTTTGAAGTCTTTTCAATAATTTTTGAATTTTTACTACCTTGTTTGCTGTTTTTTTTCATAAAATTGAAGAGCAAACAGTGCTATGATGTATAGTTCATGTGCACTCCAGGTTGGTGTATGCTGCTAGCAGCTGATCATCCTGTGTTCCCAGACGACAGACTCAGCTTCCCTCTCAAACCTTGAAGAACTTTAGTTCCTTCCCGCTTGAGGGGAGACTCTGGAATCTGGCACAGCTGCCAACCTGCCCACCTTAAAGTGAATGTGGGGCAGGTGCTTCCTGCACACACACTAGAGCCTGTTTCTGTTTTCTAAGTATAAAAACGTTTGGATTGAATTTCTTAATCTTCTTGTCAGATTCTGTCTGGGCTGAAACAAGTCTCATCCACTTTTAAGCCTCAGATTTTAAACTCGTATGTACTAGGGCAGAAACTTGCTATATATATATCCCATGGTTTTCATTTTTTTTAACTCTTCACTTTGAAAGTACTACCTAATATCCTTTAAATATGACTAAAAATTGACTTTGATTCTCTCTTCTTCAATGAGGATGCAACAACATCGTTTAATGTTTACTAAGGCAACTAAATATCAAAATACTTTTTTTTTTGGTAGCTTGCAGGGCTGAGCAAGGCTGCAACTGCTACCTACTAATATGCTGGGTGAGAATGTCATGCCAACCCTACTAAGTTTCCCTTTCCTGTTTCATGCTGTGACACAAAACATTGCTTAGCCAGAGTCTGCACATCACTGAGCAAGAGCTGTATGAACTACAGAAATGGAAAGAAAATGCAGGGGAAAACTGCAAGCACAGTAAAAACTGAAGTTACCACTTTTCTCCTGAATCTTTGGTCTTGTCATGCGTATTGCCAAGATTTGCTACATTTTATTCTGGTAGCTTTTGGACCTGTACTTGCACAGTAAAAAACCCTCTTTTCCTTCCCTCTGCAGGGTTCCTGCGCTTATCCTGTACAGTTACCGAGACGAATACAAGGTTTTGTTTTAGTGCTGCAAGCATCCTCTCCGGGCTGCTTCAACTAAAGGACAGCAGTATTTTTGCATAAAGGATTTCAGAAAGCTGTTATAGTGTATATAGGCATTATAATGGATAAGCAACTAATGCTTTTTTTTTTTACATGTCCAGCTTGAATTTCATGTGTAATATAAAACTGTAAATGTATTAAAAGTGGAAATAAATGTTTTCTAGTCTCTTACAGAGGAAAGTGACTACAGCCAGCACTGTGTGATACCATGTAATTCTTTTCCCTTTACCATGCAAAATCCAAATTACCAACTGTACAGATCTGAAAATACAGAAATATTAAAAAAGTTTTACAGTATCTGTCATAGCACTAAGCAACAGTAGTACTGAAATGAGAAACTCAGTTCAAGGGTTGGCAGAGACGCTTCAGCTCCAGAAGACTGCTTTAAAGGTTTTTAAGGCCTTCATGTAAAATAAAAGGTTTAGTTAGGGAACACGTCTTGAAATACACATTATAGGAATTTTTTACTACTTTAAATTTAAGACTTCATAAAAAGCAGAGCTGTTTGTTTGCTAGGTTGAGAGAGTTGTTGCAAGCCTAGTTTCCTGGGCTTGTTGAGCCCCTACTTTTATATTTAAATGAAGCAGCTGCTTCTGCAAGATGCTTGATGCTTGTTTCAGATCATAGTCTAGGGATTTAAAGACGACTGCAGCCTCCTGCTGCCTGGTGGCACAATGACAACTTTTGAATCAGCTTTCGTCATGGAGGGTGTCAGAGCAAGTCTGTATTTCAAGACACAGAAATGATGAGGAAATTACAACTCCTCTGTTAAGGCTCAAGTCGTCTGTAATGACTGTACATAGTTAAAACTATACCCTAGCACAGCCACATCAGAAAAAAATGAAGGTGATCTCTAGCAGCTTTAGTTAACTCTGTGTTTCACACCAAAGTGGGTATAGTGTAGGAGTGAAGATGGAGCCAAGCTCTGGATTTCCAGAAGCATCCTGCTCGCTACCCTCCCTCCTCTCCTCCCTTTACCTTCCCCCTAAATAGTTTGCTCCTGTTTCTTCATTCTCCAGCTTACCTAAATTATTGTCTTCAGACTCGCTGCATTATCAAATATCTGTTTTCAGCCTTTTTCTTGAAGGGGAGGGCAAAGTTATAATACACGAAGTAACTTTACAGCCAAATAAACCCCCAAACTTCTTACAGCTACAGAAGTTGCAACAGCATCAAGCACAGGTCAGTCCCACATGCAGTTTATCACTCCTAGCGCTTTCCTGAGGCAAGTAACGTCACTCCTTACAACCACATCCATTTCTCATTGTGTTTAATAGGAACAATTAAATATTCAACGTTTACAGCTGCTTCTAGGAAGGCGCTACTTTAAGATGTGAAGTATGGGGAAAAGAGATCCCCGAATATGTTGAAGGATGAAACGTAAAAAAAAAAAAAAGTTCTGTTGCTGTGAATGCTCTTAAGCCACATTTGAATGGGCCATGAGGCAGAGTCCCAACCTTCTCCCAAGCCCCACTCAAGGCAGCCAGGCTGTTACCAGCATAGAACAGAGACACAGCTGACCAGAGCGCTCAGGCATGGTGCTGCCTTGGGGGTATCTGCACTGCATCAGGCAGACATCTCCCTCAAAACAAGATACAAACAGGAAAGCTGCTGTTCCCGATAATAATACATTGGCACCCACTTGCCGCAGTAGTGCTGAGGCTTATCTATACATGGGACGTCTGTCGCTGAGATTCCAGTTGTAGCAGCACTTGGCTCATGTGACCACGTTTCCCTTCCCCCCAAATGGGTTTTATGCTGCCCATTGCTATAATACAAAACAAACAGCAGTAAGTACAAAACTAGTTGGCAGTTGAGTGTAAAGCTATTTCAGTATAACCCTGTAAATACTCCTGCCATACAGCAATCCAAAGAAAGCGCTTCTGGCTTTCAGTTTAAACACAAGCACTGATCACATCCCAGTATCCTGCTGGAAGGAAAGCCAAAGACAAGTGGTAACTCAAAATGAAAGGGACTTTGCTTGGAGCAAGGGTCTGGTCTGTTGGGGGAAAGGTAGGCCGCTGTTCCGTCACTGGGTTGCTTTACTCTTCTTGTTTTTGCTTTTCTTGTCTTTCTTCTTCAAGCCATCCATGTTGGCTCGCAGCAAATTGGAGTATGCCTGCAAGAGCAGTGAGAAGCCCTGAAAAAACGAACAGCTGGGTGACCTTCTGCAGGTGCCACCCATTGCTCAGGGACACCCAGCAGCTGCCTTCGCTCAGTTCTCGCTCACAGAATTCATGCGCTCACCAGCGTTAGCAGAAAGTTAACAAACACATATGGACTTTTTAACAACTGCTGACAGCCAGTCTACAACGAATCTGTGTGCCAGCTTAGCACTGAATCAACCCATTCACAGCTACGGGGAAAGCTGGTTCATAGCTGTCCAGTGCTTCCTACTGCCTACTACTCCCCAGCACCTACAAAAACGGAAGATAGAAGGCACACAAAACTTACCATCTGGAATTTATTCACTTCCTTTGAGCTCACCTACAAAAGTAATACTAGAGGTTAATAATAATTTTAAAAAAGGGTATATAGTATAAACAGCAGCTGGATCAACATCCCATTCCGTGCTAAGCAAGCCAAACTGACTGAATTAGAAAAATCAAAACCACTCCTCTCTAAATAAGCAAATCAACTACAGTTCTTCCCTCAAAATTATGTATTTCAAATGGAGAGAAGGCAGCAAAACATTCTAAGAAAGATTTGGTTTCACTATAGGAGCATATCAATCAATTTTTCTTGTGGAGATGCAAGCCATGGTAAAGATACCTTATAACCCTCTCAGCTCTTCCTGAAAATAACATTTTCCTTTGATATCCGCCATGAGAGGATCCAAAATCAATTACAACCTTTCCCTTTCTCTCATTTAAAGTGAACACATCTGTTTTTAACATCTAAAGTTAAGATTTCCTGAAATACAAGTATGTCTGTAAAGAAGAAATTCAGGCATGCATTGTGAGACTAAGACTTAGAATTCTGAGCCTAGCCCATTCCCACACGCTTTGGGCCGGAAACAAGGACCCATTTGCAACACGTTGTTTCAGCCTAGGAACACACAGTTGTTTCCTTCCGCCAACCACCAAGGCCTACAAGGAGCTGCCTTTTGTCACCTGAAGTTGCCCTGTACCTTTCTTCTGCTGGGAGCCACACCATTGTCCTGCATCCCTTCCTGACGTTATCCTTCCCTCTCAAAGGGCTTTCCCCCGTCCCTCCCAAGGATTTCACCCAGAAGAACACCGCAGCCAGGACTACTGGAAGCAGGCACAGTCCCTCCCTGCTGCCCAGCAATGCCGCTTTGAGGCAAAACCCAGCCCACATACAGAGTGAAACCCATCAGTTATCCCCTCCATAACACTGGGGTGAAGAACAAGAATTAGACTTAGCAAGCTTAACACTTTGGCATCCAAATTTCAGCTGGGCTTGGCTACCACACAATTTTTTCATAGTCCTAAATTAACTTGCATAAAATGTGTGCCAGGAGACACTTCATTTACGATATGGGACATTACCTCAGCGTAAAGCAGGACTGCTAATCATTCTGACCCCAAACTGTCACTTACCACTGTGCTAATTTTCTTCTTTCCATCAGTTGCTCTTAGAAGACATTTATTGTCTGCTGGTTCAAAACTTTCTACGTGGCCTTTGCGCGGGACTGGTTTTGTTCGGCCATCATCTGTGTTAAAAGACAAAGACTCCCATTTTTACTAACATCACTGGAAATCTCCTTACATGAGCAGATTTGCACAACACCTAGAATTTCAGACACCTGCGCTGACACTGTTGCCCTGCTGCTGCACATGCACCCACATGCAGAGATGTGCACGAGGGGCACCCGGATGCGCAGGCGGCTCCGCTGCCCTGCGGCACCGGCCGGTTGCAGCGGCCCCCGGCCGGTTGCAGCGGCGCCTGCCTTGTTGCAGCGGTTCCCGGCCGGCTGCAGCGTCACAAACGCACCCCCAACAGCAGCCGGCCATGCTCCGCTTGTGCTACCCAGAACTTTCCTAGGAAACTCCATAGGTAAATTAAAGCAACACTGTACTTCTCCTTCTGAAGCATGAAAGTGAAAACTTCCAGTGAAAGTGAAAACTCTTTTAAATGAAGTCCCTATACTGCCTAGCAGTTAGAAGACACAACTTTACTTTACAATCACTAATGCTTCAGTTCAATCGAATGGTTTGCCAATACTACTTTTGCACTGTCAGGCACCTCACTTATGCCTATGTATTAAAAACATACTAGCAACACGCAAAATTCACTTCAAACGGCTACCGCTCAGCGCGCCGCTGGAGCCTTACACTTCTTGAGGGTGATGAAGACGCTGCCCGAAGTGCGGCACTTCTGGAAGAGCCTCGTGAGCTCCGTCAGGAACTGCAAGACACAGAGCCGCGTGCTAAGGCCGCGCAGGCCTCGCCTCGCCTCCGCTCCCCGCGCAGCGCGGCCCTCGCACCCCAGAACGCGGCCGGCACCAGCTAGGCCGGCCCGGCCCCCGGAGCGGGAATGGGAACGGGGCTGAGGGCCTCCCGCCCCCGAGCAGCCCCGCGCTCCGCTCCC